AGGCAATTCTCCTGCCTCAGCCTCCCGAGTAGCCGGGATTACAGGCACGCGCCACCATGCCCAGCTAATTTTTTGTATTTTTAGTAGAGACGGTGTTTCACCATGTTGACCAGGATGGTCTCGATCTCTTGACCTCGTGATCCACCCGCCTTGGCCTCCCAAAGTGCTGGGATTACAGGCATGAGCCACCGTGCCCAGCCTGAATGTGTCCTCTTATCACTTCTTTTTCTATGTTGTTCTTTAGATTCTAGCCAGCACAGTAAGTAAAAAGGAAAAGGAGTAAAAGGCATCTATTGTGGAAATGTAGAAGTAAACTGTCTTCATTTACAGACCACATTATTTTCTGTAGAAAATATGTTGGAGTCTATGAAAAAGACCAAACATAGATTTAACAAGGTTCCATGATACAAAATCAATATAAAAGAATTAATTTGGCCAGGCACAGTGGCTCACTCCTGTAATCCCAGCACTTTGGGAGGCCAAGGCGGGTGCATCACAAGGTCAAGAGATAGAAACCATCCTGGCCAACATGGTGAAACCCTGTCTCTACTACAAAAAAAAAAAAAAAATACAAAAATTAGCTGGGCATGGTGGCTCACACCTGTAGTCTCAACTACTCAGAAGGCAGAGGCAGGAAAATCACTTGAACCTGGGAGGTGGAGGTTGCAGTGAGCTAAGATTGCACCACTGCACTCCAGCCTGGAGACAGAGCAAGACTCCATCTCAAGAAAAAGCATTTTATTTTTATATACAAGTAATGAATAAGAGTTGAATTTGTTTTTTTAAAAAAAAAAAATGCATTTTCATCAAGCAGATGGTGCACACCTGTAGTCCCAGCTACTTGTGAGACTGAGTTAGGAAGATTATTTGAAAACAGGAGTTTGAGTCCAGCCTAGGCAACATAACAAGATCCCATCTCTAAGAAAATTAAATTTGAAGAAATCCCATTTTCCATAGCATCAACAAATAAGAAATTCTTAATAAATCTGACAAACTATGCAATACACCCTATGTAATGAAAACTATGAACTATTGCTGAGAGAAATTAATCAAGAACCAAGTAAGTGGAGAGACATATACACAGAGCTGAGTGGAAGACTTAATGTTGTTAAGATACCAGTTCTCCCCAAGTGGATATATACATTCAGCACAATGTCATTGTAAATCCCCAGTGTCTTTTATCATAGAAATGGACAAGCTGGCTGGGTGCGGTAGCTCAAGCCTGTAATCCCAGCACTTTGGGAGGCCAAGGCGGGTGGATCACGAGGTCAAGAGATCGAGACCATCCTGGTCAACATGGTGAAACCACATCTCTACTAAAAATACAAAAAATTAGCTGGGCATGGTTGAGCGTGCCTATAATGCCAGCTACTCAGGAGGCTGAGGCAGGAGAATTGCCTGAACCCAGGAGGCAGAGGTTGCGGTGAGCCGAGATCGCGCCATTGCACTCCAGCCTGGATAACAGGAGCGAAACTCTGTCTCAAAAAAAAAAAAAAAGAAAGAAAAGAAAAGAAAGGAAATGGACAAGCTGATCCTAAAGTTCATTTGGGAATGCAAAATATCAAGAAAAACTACAAGGATATTAGAATAGAAAGGTAATGTGGGATGGTTAACACCACCTGATTACGGACTTTTTTATAAAGCCTCAGAAATCAGGACAGTTTGTATTTGCTTAATGGTAAATAAATAGATGCATGGTACAGTAGCATCCACACACAGACCCACACATTTATGGGCAACTGAATTTTGACAGATTTAGAAAGATAATTCTGTGGAGAATGGACAACCTTTTCAAAAATGATTCCAGACCAATTGTTTGTCCATATGCAAAAAAAAAAAAAAACAAAAACACCTTTATGCCTGACAGTATATACAAATGAGTCAGAACTCTAAATAAAGTATAAAAATTTAAAACTTCTAGAAGAGAAAATAGGGGGAAGTCTTTGTAACCTTGAAATGGGCAAAGATTCCTTAATATGATACTAGAGCACATTCTACCAATGAAAACCTGATTAATTGACTTCACGAAAATTAAAAACTCCCATGAAGTGAGGGAAAATACACGCAAAAGAATTTTTATCTAGAATATGTAGTGACTTTTGAGACAAAAGTCAATAATAGCAAACAACTCAGAAACACAGGCAAAAGGCATGAACAGAAACTTCACCAGAGACAATGTACATATGGCCGGTAAGTACATGAAAAGATGGTCAACATCATTACAATAGGGAAATGCAAATTAAAACTGTAAGGAGGCTGGGTGCCATGGCTTACACCTATAATCTCAGCGTTTTGGGAAGCCAGAGCAAGAGGATCGCTTGAGCCCAGTGGTGTGAGACCAGCCTGGGCAACATAGTGAGACCTCATCTCTACAAAAGTAAAAAAATCTACTGGACGTGGTTGTACACCCTTGTAGTTCCTGCTCTTCAAGAGGCTCAAGCAGGAGAATCACTTGAGTGAGCCCCAGAGATTGAGGTTGCAGTGAGCCGTGTTTGCACCACTGTAATCCAATCTGGACAACAGAGCAACCTTGTCTAAAACCACAAAAACTCGCTATACCAAGTGTTGGTGAGAATATGGAGGAACTATAATTTAAATGTATTACTGGTGCAAATGTAAAATACTATGCTCAGTTTGGAAAAACACTTTGGCAGTCTCTTAAATAAAAGTCAGACACCTATCAGGTGAGCCCATCTTTCTACTTCTAGTATTTACCTCAGGAAAAAAGTATATGTCCATGCAAAGAATTGTACAGTCTTCATGCAGCTAAAGAATATTGTCAGCTTTTCAGTACAGCCAAAAACTGGACCACAATGCAAATGTTCCGTCAACATGTGCGAGGATGTTGTGGGCCATCTCTTCAGTGGGATACTAGATAACATTAGAAAGGAGTTAACTATTGAAACATGCACCAATCTCAAGGTAATTACACTGTGTGAAAGAAACCATGCACACAATAGTACATACTGTATCTATTCTATTTATTTAAGACTCCTGAAATTGCAGACTGTTGTAGCAAAAAGTAGGTCATGGAAGGATGGGGTGGTGGGAGGAAGGAATTGGGAAGGGTCACAAAGAAATTTGGGGATGTGATAGATAACACTGTCTTAATTGTCGTTAGGTTTTCATGGGTCATGAAAATAAAAATGTAGACTCCTTATGCAACTTCAGGCTGTAACTTTAAATATATGTCAAGGTATAGATTTTAAATACATGCAGTCTATTTTAAGTCAATTATATCTCCATAAGGCTGTTTAAAATACAGCGTGATAGAGGGGACTCACAGATTAAAAGAGACTTAAAGGAGCAGCCAAACGTGGTGCATGGATTTTGTATCTTGATTCAAACAAGCCAGCTACTGAAAGACATTCTGTAGACCAGAGAAATTGTAGCATAGGGTGAGTATTGGATAATGTTGATTAATCATTGTTACTTTCCTTAGGAAAGGCAATGGCGTCTGACAAAAGCCCGTATCTATTAGAGTTCACAGAGTGTTGCCCTGTTGCTCAGGCTGGAGTGCAGTGTTGTGATCTTGGCTCACTGCAACTGCTACCTCCGGGTTCAAGTGATTCTTTGCTTTAGCCTCCAGAGTAGCTGGAATTACAGGCGTGCACCACCACACCCAGCTAATTTTTGTATTTTTAGTAGAGATAGGGTTTCACCATGTTGGCCAGGCTGGTTTCAAACTCCTGACCTTGTGATCCGCCTGCCTTGGCCTCCCAAAGTGCTGGGATTACATGCATGAGCTACCATGCCCATCTGGAAGGCTTTATTAAATTATTTTCTATTCTTTTGTGTATTTAAGACTTTCCCGTAAATTTTTTAAAAAACATTTTCTATGGATCTTTAATATTCTTAAGGTCTCTGATGTTTTGGTCCCCACCTTGCTGTGTCAGGAGCAGCATGTGCTTTTTCCCATAGTGTAGGGCCTGATTGTGTCTAGAGTGACTGTCTCCCCAATGTGCCTGGGACAGTCTCAGTTTGTGCCCCTTGCCCCAGTGTGAATGTTCCTAGGGCCCTCTGATTCACAAAGCGTTCTAATTTGAACAGGAAAGCAGATGCTCACCTTAATTTTCTTCACATACCTGTGCTTTACACCTACTTGTCTTTATTAGATTATTCCTTTGCCTGGAACCCCCTTCTAACCCTACACCTTTCCTACTCCAGTTTCCCAGACCTTGACTCCTCAAGACCTTTGCTGATGTTCCTCCCCGTCTCAACCCGCCCCTCCTAGTCACCTCCTGTGTGCTACCATCCTGCCTGGGGCATGCTCAAGGGAATACCATTATTGGAACTGTTCCCAGTTCAGTGAGCTTTTCAAGGGTAGGGATCCACCACCTCTTCATCTTCACCAACAGGTTGTTGGTGCCAAGCAGTGGATATTGCCTAGCAATGTCTGGAAGAATGTTGCATAAATCCAGCCTTGGAGATTCTCTTACCTTACCCTTAGAGATAAGGAAAATAGCTCAACCCTGGAAGATAAAGGCATCTTCCTAGGATTACAGAGGATAGTATAACAGAGCCAGAAGTAGAGCTGTGACGCATTCCTTCTCTTCACACTTGATGTGATAAGCAATTTCGAGGAGCAGTCAGGGGTTCCCTGTACTAAGATGGCATTTACACACCTAATGGTGATGACTCCTTGAGCAGAATCCAAAAGTCATTAGAGCAGCAGGAGTAGCTCTGGAGTGTACAAGAAGTAGGTTTTGATAATGCTGTGATATTTCAGATGTTTATTCAACACAAAATGCAGTAATTATGACACCTGACTTTTTTACTGCGGGAGAATTGAAGACCTATATTTCTAGGCAATTTGACTTAACAAGGTGCTCTAACACTTATTACCAGCCACCAGTTTTTTTTTTTTTAATTATTCTCTTATATGTAGGATATATAAGAGGGATGTAGTAAAATAGAGACTTTATACTTTTAATTGCTTAAAAATAACATCATTCAGAGATCTTACATTTAATATCTGTTTTTATTTGCAATTTTCATAGCGTCGTCTTGGAGATGCAGCCAAGAAAGCCATCAGTAAATTGACAACAAGGACAGTGAAAAAGGGAGACAAGGTACAGTACCGAACTGACTTTAGCACTGTAAAATTATCGGATGGTTTCACCAGAACACTGAAAATGGGTGAGAAAGTATAGTAGCGAAATAACTTCAGCAGGGCAAAATCATCAGATAGTTTCACCAGGACAGTGAAAAGGTGACAAGGTTCGGTACTGAAATAACTTCAGCATTGTAAAATCATCAAATAGTTTTGTTTTTCTTTGGTGGGAGAGGACACACCCTAATTGTTTGTATTTCGTTTGTTAGATTTTCTCGAGCTATACTACCTAATGCTTTATTTTAAACTACTTTCTCGCAGTAACTCTAGCTGTGTTTTCCTACAGGAGTTTTCTTCTGCTAAAAGCTAGCATACATTTTCAGAGAATTATAGTGTGACCGTTTGTGCATTAGAAAGCCACAAGATGTGTGTGTTTTTTCTTGTACTTCCTGGGACTTTGCTGTGTCTTTTTTGTATCGATTTTTTACTAGTTACACGGAGAATTGAAGACCTGCATTTCTAGGGAGTTTCACCTAACAAGGTGCTCTCTCTGCAATGGGTTGAGCAGTTTGACAGAAGAGCAAAGTGTGTTAGGGTTATCCCTGGTGGCTTGGAGGACCAAGGGAGAGAGGCAGTGTCACGATGCTGTGGCAGAGACCTCTAATGACATCCTCCACTCAGAGCTCTAGTTATGGTAGAGCCCTGCTTCTCCCTTAGAAGGACACAGTTGCACCTTAGTGCTGCCCCTACGTTCAGGGTACTCAGGTTATCTAGAATGGGAAAATGGCATCTCAAAAGTCATAAAACTCAAACTGTCTCCTGCCCCACACCCATCTAATACTTAAGCACAGAGTTGTGTCTGGAAGGACAATTTCAGATGATTCTCTGTCTTCCTAAGTTTTACCAGTTTCTTGGACTTTATCCATTTTATTCCCATTGCCATGATACCACCATATATAGTTGCCTTTGAAACAGCTTCAGAAGGTGAAGACATTCTTAATGAACTTTATTGTACACCAAGGAAAGAGAAAAGGGGGAAAACCACTTAAAATATAAGCAACATCAAAACAGCTTGTACTTGAGTGGCCGAGAAGTGGTAACCAGTTTAACAGTGTAAATGCTCTCTTTGCCTGGTAACCTCAGCTGCCACATTCGTTTGAAATTCCCTGGAGCAGGTTTAACCCACCCATCTTACTTTGTATCCCAGGCCAGCACAATTGTGTCCCTTAATTATTAAAACCAGTTCATCTGAGTTTGCACCTCCTAGACCTGCCAAGAGCTGTCCACTGAGTTTCAGTCCACGTGACAGTGACACGGCAAATAGTCTGTTTTTCTGGCTTAGGTTCTTGGCATGTTTTATTTTATGACAACTTAGGCAAAACCCCTTCTTAGTTCTACGAGGAAGGAAATCAATTAATCTGGTGTCTAAATACCTGGCTGACTCTTTCTCACTCTTAATAAAGACCCAGTATTGAATTGAGCCAGTGACTCCTCGCCATCCCAAATCTGTGACCAAGTCACAGCAGTCTGCTGGGACTCGACTCACCGTCTTTCCTGCCTGTACTTAGGTGTGTGTTTAAGTGAGCATCCTGGTGAGCTTCCAGGCTGTGTCAAACATAACAGTGAAACCTCTTCAGACTAATAAGTAATACAGGGGTACTGAGGGATGGGGAGATGATGATGGTCCAAGCTGATTCTAACCTTAGAAAAATTCCAACCTTGAAAAAATTAGAATTCCGACTTCATTTTTGTAAGATAAAACAAAATATAGGTTATTATCATTTTAAAAACAAAATAGATTGGCTTAGACATAATTTGGGCCAATAGAGTTAGGCAAACAAAAACATATTAAATTAATTGTAATCATTTTCACTTTATAACACTTGCTGACGATAGTAGCCACAGAAAGATTTGAAGCTGAATTGCATCCCCACTGTTTATATACTTGCATCATGTGACTTTTGCTTCTGTACTTTTCATTTTAGGAAACTGATCCAGACTTTGATCATTGTGCAGTCTGCATAGAGAGCTATAAGCAGAATGATGTCGTCCGAATTCTGCCCTGCAAGTATGTTAACTTCATTCGTTTGGAAAAGAATGATAATGTGCTTTGTATGCCCCCTTTTCAAAGTGGGCATCTCCCTTGCTTTTGAGCGCCACCCACCCCATGACTTTCTGGAGGCCAAGCCCACTGTGCATTGCTGGCCGCGGGGCTGAGGCCAGCGGGGAGTGGTGCTACTCCGCAGGGGCAGGCTACACAGCCTTCCTAGGTGTAGCCAATATGCCACGTGGCGTGTGGCCTCCAGACTCCCCAGACACAGCCTACGAGTGTTGAGGTCGAGAATTCTTGTTCTGTGGTTTCATTTATCTTACGTTTCTTTCTTTTTTTTTTTTTTTTTTTTTTTTTTTGAGATGGAGTCTCACTCTGTTGCCCAGACTGGTGTGTAGTGGCATGATATCAGCTCACTGCAACCTCCGCCTCCCAGGCTCAAGCAATTCTTCTGCCTCAGTCTCCCGACAAGTATCTGGGATTACAGGTGGCCACCACCATGCCCAGCTAATTTTTGTCTTTTTAGTAGAGACAAGATTTCACCATGGTGGCCTGGCTGGTCTCAAACTCCTGACCTCAGGTGATCCTCCCACCTCAGCCTCCCAGTGCTGGGATTACAGGCTTGAGCCACCGCACCCGGCCCATTTTCTTTAAAGATGGGGTTCTCTCTATGTTGCCCACAGCCAGACATGAATTCCTGGGCTCAAGCAGTCCTCTTGCCTTGTCCTTCCAAAGTTCTAGGATTATAGACGTGAGCCACTATGCTCAGCATTGTTTTGTGATTTCTGTGGGTTTCAAAAACAGCTCCTTGTTCCTCTCCATCTTAAATCAGACTACATCACTAGGTCCTCCAGTGAGACTTCATCAAGCTCACCTGGCTCTGGGTACAACAGGTCCAGGGACTTGGATTAAATCTTTTGCTAAACCCAGATTATGCAGAGTCGAGAGGACTGATACCTACTTCGTGCCTGCTGTGGTTCGAGTGCTCTGCTCTGAGCAGATTATACTCACTGTCTCCTATAATTTTCCCGGCAGTCCTAAGGTGTTTTTTCCCCATTATAGAGTGAAAAATGGTGAAACAATGGCAGGTTCCAGGGTCGCACAATTCAGAAATGGTAGAGCTGTGACAAGGACTGCCTTTAATGTGGTGCTCCCTACATAGGACCCAAGCCTCCCTCCATGAGGAGAGAATTTGCCTGTGCCTGGGTGCCCTGGAAATGGCTGTTGGTTTCTACCATGGCTCCTCTAAAGCTTAGGGAGTATGAAACTTTAAGATACACTGTTCTGAATGTCAATTGGATAAATAGGAAATCACCTGCCAGGAAGGCTAAAACCAAAGAGTTTTCCTCTTCCTCCTCCCTTCTCTTTAAAAGATATGCACACAACTTCAGCTTTATAATATGGAGCATGTGAATTAATCGAATAATGGTGAGTTGTTACCTTCATGAGGCTACTGGTCTTATTTTACTTACAAAGTAATCTATCTTGAGTCTAGGAAGACAGGTTTTGTGTTTGTTTTTTTAAAATCATCTGAAGAATTACATATACTGAGACAGAAATCCAAGAATCTGGAAGTTAAATCATTCTAGTTTACATGTAAAGGAAAATCTATAAAACTAAATGTAAGCTGTCCTGTAGAAAAACTGTGTAACAGCCAGTCTTCCTTCACATGCAGTCATTTATGATCTAAACGTGAGGCTAAAGGAAATGTACATGTAAGTGCAAATCAGGAGAAGAGCCAGCGGGACAGAGGGGAGGCATAACCACACTCACCTGCTTCCACACTGGAATGACCAGGAAAAGCCAAGTCTCTCCAAATTCCATCTTGCTGTTTCAGCCCAGGATCCTCCAGAACCACATGGTACCTAGGAATAAGGGTTTCTAAAACCATTCATGGGTATTACTAAAATGAGGGGGGTCTTCCTTAAGGGAGGCTTGGCCTAAAGTAGGTTATTCTGGGAGCTTACTCCCATTATCTTCATCCTTTCAGTGTTGACTTTTCCACAGTTCAATTTGGAGTTATCTTTTTCCTTTTGTATCATTTTTTTTTTTTTAGAGTTGGGGTCTCACTATGTTGTCCAGGCTTCTCTGAACTCCTGGCCTCAAGTAATCCTCCCACCCTATCCTCCTAAAATGCTGGGATCACAGGCGTGAGCTCCACGTCTGGCCTTCTTTTTAAAATTTAGTTCAGTGCTTTCCAAACCTGACTGCATTAGAGTCAGTGGGGGAGGTTTCAGAAACATCCCGAGTGAAATCCAGGCACATGCACTTTAATAAGTTCCTGCCTGATTCTGAGGCGCAAGGCCATGCCCTTCACCAAGAGTCCAGGCTATGGTTGATCTGAACCATTTCTACTGCTGCACCTGCCACCATAGAAATGGTTTGTGTTTGCGGTCTGCTGGTGAATATTAGAATTTTGGCCACACTTCACGGAATTCCGTTGCACCCTCTATGATACTGTTACTCGGTTGTCTTTCAGTACTAGGTTATCATGTTACTAGCCGTGCTCAGTCCCCTGGCTGAGTGTAGAGTGTTCCGTGTTGCTGTGGAACTGAGCAGCTGTTTGTTCCACCCCCATGCGTCACCAAGCTGTGGCTTTCCCTAGACTGCACTGCACAGCCTGCCCAGCACAGCGCCCCATCTTACTGCCATGTAGTAACAGTGCAATTATCAGGTGTAGTAAAAATTAACTTTACACATCAAGCAGTACTTGTGACAGTCTCTAACCTAGAGCAGTGTTTCTCAGCCTTGGCACTGTTGACATTTGGGACCAGGTCACTGAGCATTGCAGTGTCCCTGCCCTCTATCCACTAGGTGTCAGTAGCACCCACCCACACGCAGTGTGACAACCAAAACTGCCTCCAGATGAGAACCATCTGAGCAGAGGATGGCTATGCATGGCTCTTCAAGCCTCTCCCCAGCAGATGCTACCCGCACAGCTGTGCCTTCCCTCTTACCAAGCTGCCACTTTCAGAATTCCTTCTGCCTTGGGATGCCTCCTCGCCCCTATTGTCATTGAACCCCAGTGTCGGTGTTACCCGTTAAGGCTTTCTGTACCTCATGTTGCTAAGCAGTTCTGCTCCCTCACCGTCTTCCCGTGGGACTCTGAACAGACTTGGCAGACAGCCTCGCCGCCGGGTCTGCCGCTGCCCAGAGCCCTGCTTCTGCCTGGCTGGCCCTGTGCATTCATCACAGCAGCACCTGCAAGTGTGTTCACTCTCCATCGGCACCTCAACTCACACACTTACTCTTCACTCTCAGAGGACCACTTCGCCATGACTTCCCAGAGGAAGCAATGGGTAGAATTCCCTCCCTGTGCTGACCTGGGCCTGCAGGCTGGAGAGGCCGTCTGCTGTGGTCTGTGCTGCTCCTTGCTGCACCGCTGTGCGCCTGCTCTCTCCCTTCCTCAGGACCTTGTTCTGTTGGCTGGCTGCTTCCTTCCGTGTTCTTTCTGTCTCCACTCGCCAGCATCTCGTCACACTCGCATTTCTCAGTCCAGTTTTTAAAACTCTTTCAAAGCCATCACCCTCCAAGTACCGCCCCACAGCCTCTCCTGCCGTACCTGCCCACTGCCTCTTCCCTCCATAAGGGAGGGAGATGGGCCCGGATACCTTCATGTCCATCTTTCCTTAACAGTTCACAAGCCCAGCTAGGACTGTCTATCCAGAGCTGTCAGGCCTCTCACGGATTGCCGGCTTCTTGCCACATGAACTCTTTTATTCCTCTTTGGTCGCACCATTTATTGTATTCACTGTGGACAGATGGCAGTTGGCATGGCAGTGGGGCTCCCTCCTCGGCTCAGTGATCACAGCTGATTCTCCTTTGGATGTTAGCCAGCAGGTCTTCGAAACTGAGGAACTGTCACCTCGTCTTACTTAGACCTCTTAGTTCAAGGTTAGCCATAGGAGTTTTTAGTAGTTAGAAGTATTTTTTCGGAAATGGAGTGCTGCAGCGTGAATGAACGCATGTTTCAATGCCACTTTGGGAGCTAAAACAGGTGGCCAGCCACTGCAGGTATCTGAGGCTCCACTGCAGCCGAAGGCTTGTAGAGACAGTGAGTGCTGCCAGCCCCAGCTAGCAGAAGAGAGTTCTTGTCTCAGACCTTTAATAATCCTGCATCCTTTTATATTTGCCAGGTTCTTACACGGCACCAAGAGGCTGCAGAGCTGTGAGAGCAACTCACCTTCAATATAGAGGCCTCTCCCTCCCCCAGCGCTTTTCTGCTCACTCTAGTTTAAGGCATGTGTGGGACATAGGAAAGGGGAAGGCACTGAATTTCAGTATTGCTGGGTTTGTTCCTTTCATGTTCTATTTGTTTCTCATTCTGTATCCCACAGTATTTCTCATAGGAATGAAGGACTTTGTCGGAGCTCGGTATGCCTGTGCTTTTCCTGTTTCACTGTCCACACATCACCTGCTTTCCGTCTCGGTGCACCACCCACCTTGTGTGTGGTGGGGCCTGTTCCGCATTTATGTGTGTGTTTATCACTTGAGTGGGGAACTACTTTTCAGGGCCCCACTTTTCCCAGGTGCCTCTTTCTGAGGGCTTCTGGGTGTCCATGGGGCACCTTCCAGAGTGAGAGCCCACAGCCATAGTGAGGGCAAGCATGGGAAGGTGTACGGGAGTGTGGCCAGTCAGTGGGGCTGCTTTGCCTGTGTGATGACCCTGCATGTGCTCAGCCTTGGCACTTCTCTTAGTGGTCCACACGCTGTGTTGCTCTGACTGCTCCAAGTACCTCCCAAGGTAAATAGGTGCTCCTGGCCCAGTCCTTAGCTGAGATTGCTACACTGTGGAAAAGTGGTTTGCCGAGCACCAGAGTGTTGTAGCAGAACTTAGCCTAGAAGGGAAGGAAAGGCCACAGGGAGTTTTGTGACAGTTGCACTGAGGAGACCAGCAGGAGGGTTAGAGAATGGGTGATGAGGGAAAAAGGTACCGTGTTCAGGGCAGCTGCCCACAGAGATCACAGAACACAGGAAGGAAAGGAGGGCCGTGGGTGAAGAGAACAGACCCCTAGCTTTGTGGAAGTGAGGGATGTGCTGTGGGAATTTGAGACTGAAGATCTCTGGGTGAGTTGCAGAGATTAAAGGAAGTTTTTTTAAAAAACCAAAACTATTTCAGATTTTGAGTTAGCTAAGGAAGGGAAGTTTTCTAAATTTGTCACCAGAGAACCAGTTGGTCTTTCATGTTTTTCTTCATAGTACCCCACAGCCTAGAGGAGAAATTGTAATTGTTTAGTAAAACAGAGGGGCAGGCACTTCTTTTAATATCAATAATCCTAGAAGGAAACAGTTACTCAAGAACATATTTATAACTAATTTCAGGTTAAAGAAACAGAACACAAAACTCGTGCAGCTTTAAAAATGAAATATGAAGAGTATACCATTTGGTTCTTTCTGAATAGTGAGAGAAAAGAAAGACAGCACAGTGAGAAAAGGGAAAAGCAAAAAGTGGCCCCAGTGGGGAGCACCAGAGCCGTCCCTCCGTCCCTTCCAGGCGGCGGCTGTGGCTCTACCACATCTCCACCAACAGCTCAGCAAGCCCGGCGACCCCCAACCCCCATCTGGGTACCTCCCACTCCTCTGGAGCCCTGATCAGAGGTCACGGCACTGTCAGCCAGCCAAGTCCCATCGTCACCCTTCATGGGCCTGACCTGCAGCACCTTCCCAGCCACCCCACACCCTAGCACTAACCCAGCGCACAGGTCTGTACCCCTCCTGAAAACGTCTGCAGCATACTAGGCATTTGCATCCCTGTGACTTTTTAGGGTGAGGTTCTGTAATTTATCAGTTCTAAAGGAGTTGGTATCCCCCAAAATGGTTAAGAAGTCTGTTGTGGTCTTGGTTGGTCAGCAACCAGCAATAGCGCAGTTGACCCCAGCTGGAAAGTCCAGGCTGGCCCTGGGGACACCCTGTATGTAGTGAGGAAACCCTCCACACACAGGCTACAAGTAACAAGACGTAATGCCTTAGGTGTCCTGAACATACTTGGGCCTCACCTGTGGATTGGTGGCTTTCCAGCCCTTAAGTAAAAGCTTTAAGGTTTAAATAAATGCCATGCCTTCGGGGGTGATGGTTCTGGTTATATCATTGTCTGCGAATTTCAGACTAGATTGATAAATCCGTTCTTCGAGATCTTTACCCTTATCCCCAAAGAAATGAGTATAAGGCCATCGAACAGTAATAGGCAGGCATGTGTATATAGTGTTCAGGCTGAAGTTGTAAGCATGAATGTTTGTTCTAGATCTCAAAACTGAGTTCTCTAGACCTCTGTTTACAAATCAAAACTATGTTTTTAAACATATAAATAACATTAAATTAAAAATGGACAAAACTGTAAAGGTATATACCATGATTCAATGTGGTATCTTTCTCAAAAATTTCTTTTATCCCAAACTCAGATTATTCTTCCAAAGCTGCCCTGAACGTCTGCCCTGGCACCCACCTTCTCCCTGTTTGGCTGGGACTCTAGAGCTTCAGAAAGCTGCTGGGCAGGGTGCTAGAGCTTGAGAACTAATTACTGCAGCTCCTGCAATCTCGCCTCCCTTCCAAAGGGCACAAGTTCCTTTTTTTTAAGACTGCAAAACCCTCTGTGACTAACTTATTTCCGGTCACAAGGGTGTGACTTTCTCTTTTCCTGAATGAGAGAAAATTACCCATCCTCCGCCTTAAACGTTTCAGCTAAAAATTGCCATCTAAGTGTTACTTGATTCTACGCAGTTTACCCCTTAAAATAGGCCAGCTTCCCTGTAGCTTTTATAAACATTCAACATAAATTGCTTAGAAGTTTTTAAAAATGATGTTTTAAATGACATTCAGACAGGGTTCCATAAAACTAATTAATAACTATACAGAGAATTCTTCATTTAACCATGAGTTAATATCTTTTTGAAATTCCATCCTTCTATGTTAGCTATTATAGAAAGCATAACTGTTTTATAAGGTGTGATTATTGTCATTCTTAATAAGTTTTCTAAGTTTCCATTAGTCTTTTTTGGAATTTGGTCAAATAAAAAGTCCAAACAACCAAATCCTACTTAACATTTCTTACACAGTGTTGTTGACATATGAAATGGGTTCAGGAGATTTTCTGCAAGTTATATTTTAATAAATTCCCATTATTTGTTTCTTGGGGCTTAAAATAGGTCCTGAAAGGGGGGAAAACGAACTAACTAAAAATTCCATTTCTTTCCATTTTGGCCTAATAGTTTATCAGTATGTAATTTGTGATGTAACTCTCCATTGTTTCATAGGCATGTTTTCCACAAATCCTGCGTGGATCCCTGGCTTAGTGAACATTGTACCTGTCCTATGTGCAAACTTAATATCTTGAAGGCCCTGGGGATTGTGGTATGTTTCCTATTTCATTTGTTACCACTTTTGTGTATTATTATATGTATGTGTAATAGAATATGACACAATCGGCGTGGTAGAAGGCATGACTGAGTCACACAGAAAAACACTGGCTGTGTTTGCCGTGTAACCTTGTAAGCCCAATAGTGCCTTTTTTCCAGATTACTAAGAAGTCTAACCCATCTCAGAGAACTCCTGGAAGAGGAGGTAAATAACTGTACTAGTCTTTTTTTTTTTTTTTTCTTTTTTGAGACGGAGTTTCACTCTTGTTATCCAGGCTGGAGTGCAATGGCGCGATCTCGGCTCACTGCAAACTCCGCCTCCTGGGTTCAGGCAATTCTCCTGCCTCAGCCTCCTGAGTAGCTGGGATTACAGGCACGTGCCACCATGCCCGGCTAATTTTTTGTATTTTCAGTAGAGGTGGGGTTTCACCATGTTGACCAGGATGGTCTCGATCTCTCGACCTTGTGATCCACCCGCCTCAGCCTCCCAAAGTGCTGAGATTACAGGCGTGAGCCACCGCGCCCGGCTCTTTTTTTTTTTTTAATTTAAGAGACAGAGTTTCACTCTGTCGCCAAGCTGGAGTGCAGTGGTGCAGTCATAGCTTACTATAACCTCGAACTCCTGAGCTCAAGCAGTCCTCCCACCTCATCCTTCTGAGTAGCTGGGACCACAGGCATACACCACCATGCCTGACTAACTTTTTTGTTTTGTTTGTTTGTTTTGAGATGGAGTTTGGCTCTTGTTGCCCAGGCTGGAGTATAATGGCACAATCTTGGTTCACTGCAACCTCTGCCTCCCAGGTTCAAGCAATTCTCCTGCCTCAACCTTCCAAGTAGCTGGGATTACAGGCACCTGCCACCACCCCTGGCTAATTTTTAGTAGAGACAGGGTTTCACCATGTTGGCCAGGCTGGTCTCTAACTCCTGACTTCAAGTAATCCACCCACCTCAACATCCCAAAGTGCTGGGATTACAGGCACGAGCCACCGCACTTGGCCACTTTTTTTTCGTTTTGAAGAGACAAGATGTTGTTCAGGCTGGTCTCAAACTCCTGGCCTCAAGTGATCCTCCTGCCTCAGCTTCCCAAAGTGCTGGGATTACAGGTGTGAGTCACCACACCTGGCATGGTCCACTTTTGAAAGTGTGCTTCTGTTGGATGATGAGTATGGGATGAGAAACTGATGGTGGAGAGGACATGATTTTTCTGCATTCCAGTATCTTTTTTTAGAAGGTAGGATATATGCCGTTGACTCTGTTCCAATCATAATCTCCTCTGTGCTTGGCATAATATACAATTATGTCATTGCTTCTGTTCCTTCCCCTGAAGTTTGACTTTGATCTCTTGGGTGTTGGTAAGTTGCAAGCAGAGAAGGCGGGCAGTGACTGAAGCCCAAGGAGAGCTGTTGACAAACACAGCTTGGCAGGGCCATTGCCAGGCATGCCAGAGACCAGCTGCAGTAGGTGCCAGGTCAACGCTGACGTGACTAACCAAGGACCTTGGTTAGTCCTTGCTTAAGAGAAGCATGTGTATGCAGGGTTGTGCTTTTTATAGGAAAATAAAGTAGTTTATGGTCTCAAAAAAAAAGAATGAAAGAATAATCTCCTTATGGAACAAAAAGTTAAATTCAACAGATGAACTACTCATTTTAGCTTTACAACCCAAAGAAGATCAAAGTCATTTCATTTTAAATATACTGTCAAACACAGTTTCAGTTTATACAGTTGGGCAGTAATGGCCCATTTGTCCTTCGTCTCCAGAGATCATGTCAGTGGTGATGTAATTTAACATGGGATTTCTCAAAGTATCAGGCATTACTGACACTATGGACTGGATAATCCCTTCTTGTGGGGGCTGTCCTGTGTGTTGTAGACTGTTCAGCAGCATCTAAATGCTAGTAGCACAGCACCACAGCTGCAACAGTCAGAAATGTCTCCAGACATTGCCAGGTGTCCCCCAGGGAGCAAACTCACCCCCATTTCATCTGGTTTAACACAGAGCATCTGCCATGAGGCCTAGCACAGTGCAGAAACTTTTTTTTTTTTTTTTGAGATGGAATCTCACTCTGTCTCCCAAGCTGGGGTGCAGTGGCACTATCTCGGCTCACTGCAACCTCCACAGGTTCAAGCAGTTCTCGTGCCTCAGCCTCCCGAGTAGCTGGGATTAGAGGCACTTGCCACCACGCCTGGCTAACCTTTCTTTTTTTTTTTTGAGGCGGAGTCTCACTCTGTCTCTAGGCTGGAGTGCAGTGGTGCCATCGCAGCTCACTGCAACTTTTCAACTCCCAGGTTCAAGCAATTTCCCTGCCTCAGCCTCTCAAGTAGCTGGGACTACAGGCGCACATCACCATACCTGGCTAATTTTTTGTATTTTAGTAGAGATGGGGTTTTACCATGTTGGTCAGGGTGGTCTCAATCTCCAGACCTTTTGATCCACCAGCCTCGGCCTTCCAAATTGTTGGGATTACAGGCGTGAGCCACCATGCCCAGTCGCTAATTTTTGTGTTTTTAATAGAGACTGGTTTTCCTCATGTTGGCCAGCCTGGTCTCAAACTCCTAATCTCAAGTGATCTGTCCATCTCGGCCTCCATAAGTGCCGGGATTACAGACATGAGACACCATGCCTGGCCAACAGTGCAGAAATTTCAAAACCATTAACTTACCCTCTGTTGTTACCTCTAGCTTTCTTGAGATTTTTTGTTTGTCTGGTAAGTATATTAAGTGCTAATACTTTCCTCCTCTGTTTATAACAGAAGTCTTCTAAAATGTATTGCAGGCTACTATGGATCCTTAAATGTGATGAACATAAAAAAAGTCTTCTAACTGGGCATGAATCTAAGCATCATGTAGTACACTGTTCTGTGATTTTTAAATAAGGCTTTGAGATGACCTGAAACAGTTCATTTGCCCAGGAAGCCATTGTTCCAGGTTCGGTTGGCTGAAACTTCTCTCTATAAACATAGAAACTTCTCACAGCCACCCTTCCCAGCTCTGCTTCCCATGTGCAGCCTGCTGCTACGTGCTGGGAAAGCCAAAGGTTGCTAGGTAAATCAAATATTCACATTGTTAAAATGAAAGACTTTTGGTACTCACTTTTTAATTGGTTGACTTCGGCCGCAAGCATCTCTATACTGCTCCCTCAGGATTAAGTGCTTAGGTTTTGAACTATCATTTTCTTATAGTTCAAAAGCCTTTTCAACTTGGACCTACTCTTGGCTTTATGTTTTACTTGCGTTTAAAGTTAGAAGATACTTAAAAACTGTCAGATAAATGGGGCTGTCAGAGAAGTTAGTAGGATCAAAGAGGTGTTTTCTTTTACCTGAGATTCTTCAACATGGACATTTACCATTAAGCAAAATAATAGTTTACTCTTTAAACTGGATGTTTGCTGTCTTTATGTTAATGACTGTGATTCCCTGTATGCCATGACCAGTTTTCTCTGATCTGCAATGAATTTTGGTTTTCCTTTGTACCATTTGTGAGAAGAGATCTCTGTGCCTTTTGAAGAAGAACTCTTAGAGTGAGAGGAGAAAGAGTAGGCAGGTGGGCAGGTAAACGAGAGGAGATCACAGGGAAAGAACTTGGTGAGGTCTTTGCAACAGGCCGTTAAACTTTAGAATCTTAAGAAATTATTTGTTTTCCTAACAGTTATTTTTAACCCGGAAATATTTTGCAGCCGAATTTGCCGTGTACTGATAACGTAGCATTCGATATGGAAAGACTCACCAGAACCCAAGCTGTTAACCGAAGATCAGCCCTCGGCGACCTTGCCGGCGACAACTCCCTCAGCCTTGAGCCACTTCGAACTTCGGGGATATCACCTCTTCCTCAGGACGGGGAGCTCACTCCGAGAACAGGAGAAATCAACATTGCAGTAACAAGTAAGTGGGGGCCTCTGCTCAGGCACAGGGCACATGGCTGCCTGTGTGGGCATTCAGGACCATCAGGAGAATCAGGGCACTTGCCTCGGCCTGCAACACAGACTGTAACCAAGAAAGCGATGTGTATTTCTGTTAAAACAGGTATTTGGAAGAATGAAACTTTATTTATGATAAGTAGCTTGTGTGTTTGTTTATGATTAATAGGAATGGCTGCATTTGATAAGTAGCTGTTCAGAGGTCTGTCTTAGTCGCTGTTTTATAAGCCTTGTTTGGAAATCATTGCGTTGCAAACAGGCATTTGAAGGGAGATGTTGGAAGGTGACACAGGCCCCCAGCAGCATTGCTGGTGTGTTGTATGCTGTGAGACTGGTGCTTTCCACCTCCCGGACCACAGGCTACTTCGTGGGAAACTCATCTAGAATTGGAACCTAAAAGTTCACAGTTCACGGAACATAGCCTGTTGCACACTTTATTTTACACTTTTCATGGAAGTTTGGTCTCTTGGCTCTTAACTCTTTGGTATAATTGTACACAAGGTCGGAGAAAAACCAAAGGACAATCTACCTGGAGAAAAATACTGTGAGCTAGTTATGAACGTCTTCGTGTTTGCACTGTTGAAAAGCAGGAAAGAAATGCTGAGTATTTTGATGGCAGTGCCTAAGGCCGGTGTGAGTGAGTTGACAGCGTGAGTGCGGCCATCATAGACATTCACCCCTCAACAAGCCAGCTCTTCTCTTCAGTTCCATTCTTTACATGTTATTTTCATCTAACAGCCTTTCACCCGTCTTCCTTGTTGCTGCTCCGCTGTCGCCTTTTCCAGTACCTACTGCTGCTTGCCTAGAGCTTCATGCCCTGAGGCTTGTGGGACCCCACTCCACTCTGGGAGTCAGTGAAATGGATGACACTGTTAAAAAATGTTTTCTCCTTCACATATTAAGACTTGTGTGGTCTGTTCAATCAAAGTGTTCATGTTTTTAACCAACCAGACAGCATTATTAGAAAAGGATTCCCCAGGTTTTATTCTGTCTGTCTAAACTCAGCTTTCATTCAGTTATGCAGTACGGGAAATTATGCTTTGAGTGTAGTTTGGCTCATTTCTCATCATCTCTCAGTGATTCATTTTAATAGCATTTCATGGTTTTCTTACTTTGGCGTTTAGGTTTTATGGTCTACAGTTTTAAAACTTGATCGAGTAGTAATAAAGGACACAAAAGTTGTTGGTTTATTAGTGAGTTTTTTAGGTCCTTCATTGATCAGACATTTATTGAGCACCTACTACTTAACTACATTAAGTACTGATCCCATTATATTTTATATAGAAATGTCCTTTCAAAATCTTATGCTTTGATGATAAAAAGATTACTTCATCTGCCAAATTAATCACCTTTAGTAGAATTTACATATGATGTTAATAAATAAAATTCATGCGATTGAACTAAACTACAGCTACCTCTGCTTTCCCTCCAAAGCCCTGTAGCACCATAGCAATCACAATGCATCCAACTGGTACCCACTGTGTGCAAGGCACTGTGCTAAGTAGGCACTGGGGGCAAAGGTAGCCAGGCCTGCTGCAGGGGGCACTGTGGAAATGCCACCAGCATATTGGGTGTTTTATGATGGTGTTTACTTCCTTTTGTTACTAGTTTTTAAAACTGAAATCACATACACACACAGAGACATTCAAATATGGGATGGTATACTCAGAATTTGGAAACACAGATGTGAAAAAGTTCTACAAGGTATCATGTATAAAGTCTCCAAGAAGAAAAGAGAGGATACTATGTTAAGTTCCTTGAAGTTGATGACATTCAGCTCTTGAATTTTTAAAATGCCATATACATTTTCCCTAAGTTAAAACATTCCAGGTAAAAACGGTGGGTTTTATGTGTTCTTGAATGTTCATGTTGATAAAATAAAAAGCTTCAATCTACTAATGAGGAAGTTTGTAATTCAAGAGTCAGTGACTGCACTGATGTCTAAAAAGAAGAGGTTTACTAAGCATTTTAGTAATGTAAGTTAAGGTGGGCGGAGAAATGCTTATAGAACACATTCCGAGCCCAGAAGTCCCCAGGAGCAGTGCCTCTTGACCTTTTGAAAGTCACCACCTTTAAAATCTAATGAAAGTATGTTTTTCTAGAAAAATGCCTGTGCACACACAATTTTGCATGCAGGGTTAGAATTTGTGGACCCCAGCTTGAAAACCACACATTGTATCCAACTTGTGCATACAGCATTTGGCAGCCCAGGTGTAAACGGCTCTCTCTGCCTTCCTGCAGATACCTAGATAATCTTACTGTATAACATTTTGTGAAAACAACCCTAGTCAGTGTATACGCTAAGAAATATTTTCTAGTTAAGGCTTTTTAGCAAGTCAGTTTGGTTCTTAGGTTGTTTTCAAGGTTCTCAATAAATACTGTTTTTAAAATGTTACCTTGACAACATAGGCTCTGATAAGGTAAGGGAACATATCTGGAATAAAGAGAGAGAGAGACAGGCTAGATAAAAACCCTTAGAGTTTTAAGTACCAGAGGTTTTCAGCTCTTTGGTGGCCAAGTACCTGGTCTGTTGCTTGCCCTTCCTACTTGGCTTGTCGCAGCCTGAACCAGTGCTGCTCCTTGGCAGTGGTGTCGGGAAGAGTAGTTTCTATTTTCTTGAGACACCAGTGAGGTGTCCTTTTTTATGTAAATATCCTAAGTAAGCCCATGCATGAGAGAGAAGAATGTAGCCATGGATGCCGTGGGAGGCCGGCTTGTGGACTGCTGGGAGCACCCTCAGGACCTGGAGGACCGCTGCTCCGTGCTCCTGAGCCTTTGACTAACAATATGAATGCCATGCAGAAATGACAGAATGAAGAAGGAAAGAAGGTTATAAGTTTGCTTAGTCTACTTTGCTGTCATTTAAATTAACAATGAAAACATCTATGTCCATGTGCAATTTTATATACCTATTTTCACCACATCCTTTTTGGTGGCTACACTCCTCACAGACCTCAGGACCTAAAATGGAAGAAGTGGTTGGGCCATGCTTTCCTTTCTGCCTTGCAGCTTTCACCAGTACTTCCACTAACCTTCTCCAGTTAGTAGCTCTCTGGCAAACCTCCTGCTTCACTTCCTTGGGCCAATCTTGGCTTATTCCTCCGTTGACGTCTGCTTCGTTGCATTTGAGGGAAATGTTGGCGTCGATTTGACTTAAACCTTCTCCCCAGAGTGATTTCCTCCCTTTCCTTTGTCAACAGAAGAATGGTTTATTATTGCCAGTTTTGGTCTCCTCAGTGCCCTCACACTCTGCTACATGATCATCAGAGCCACAGCTAGCTTGAATGCTAATGAGTAAGTAACAAATTGTTTTTTGGATTGCATGTGCCAGATGACCCCAAGAAAACACATGGAGTAATTTTCATGAAGGTGGTGAGAATTGGCTTTCCACCAGTTTCACACCGATCCTGATGGGATCATATCTAGCAAAATACTTTATTTCATGAACATACATTTTTAGTCAGTAACACAGATTGGGAGTTCACCTTATTCAACAATAACAGTTCATTTGAGAAAAGATTCAGAGGTTTTCATTAGCCACATGCTTAGAATGAATCAGCAGTGTAATGCAGATGCCAAAAGAACAAGTATCGTCTTAGGGTGTAAAAGGCTGTCGCTTTACTTGTGTTCATCACACTTATCTGGACCTTGCATGTCTGGCTTCTGGGGAAGCCCTGGCACCCATGTCTATGGTCAGGACCAGTACCTTCGATGCTTGGCCTGCAGAAAAGAAGCAATTAAAAAGATCCGCTGTTTCTGGATATTAGGATGACTGTCAGGAGGAAGAGAAAATAAGTCTAAACACTATCTCCATGGGCAAAATGACAACCAAAGAGCAGGCTCCATGACTTCAGGTTTTACCTCAGTGGAAAGAAGGATATCTGTCAATGAGGTTGCTTCGCGGTGGGATGGTTTGCTGTAGGGCTTGCCCAGGACTCGGAACGCAGGCAGAGGCTGGATGTCACTTGCCAGAGGTGCTGTTGTCAGACGTTTTCAGAGGATGGAAGATTGGACTAGATAACTGTTACGGTCCATTTTGATCCAGTGCTGTTCCAAGAGTAGCTTTTCACAGGGATCAGGTATAGAAAAGGGTTTTGATTTTTGCTTTGTTTTGCTTTGTTCTAAATTTTGGATATTTGCTGTAGGAATTCATTCAGTCCTTTCTTTTACCAGTATTCATGAAAACTTTCAGAGATGAAAGCAACCCTGGGACACTGCCCACATTTGAACCTAAATTGGTATGGGTGGAATTCACGTGTTCTCCATATTCAATTATGTCCTGATACTTTAATTGATTAGTAATAACCAAACTACCTCATGCAGTTGATTTAATCGACTGCCCATTGTCCAACTATAGAAACAATGGGCGAGTGGCCTCCACTTGCAGTGACATATGTTATTAGATCTAATCTGTGAGCTAGATAATTGCAAGAAGTGCCCTCTGGCATCTGTGAGCCCATACAGGTTGGGGTCAAAGATGTCAGGGTCAGGTGGCATTCCCCAGCTATCAGAGGAGCACTGTGCCTCATCTAGCAGTGAACCACTAGCTGCTGCTGTTGACCACCCATTCAGTTTTCCTTCAGCATGGCACACCTAATTCCTTACACTCTAGGGTCATACACACCTGGATTTCACTCTCAGCTCCTCCATTTTTTTAGTTGTAAGACCTGGGCAGTTATATTTATTTGAAGCTCCTTTTAGTCATTCACAAACAGAGATAATGATAGGACCACATCGCAGGGTTGTTATGAGAATCAGCATATAAAATGCTTAGCACAGTGCCTGGTACATAAGAAGTGCTCAATAAATGTTAGCCAAGCCAATGCCATTACAGTGCTGTTGAAGTCTGTTAGTAAGATGACCATCTGCCTTTATTGTTTGGGAAGTAAAATTTTCCATGAAATAGGACACAGAACTATAGTAGCTCTGTGAGTAGCTATGATTCAAACCTCAGTTTAGAGGGAAACACTTACTTCACCCACAACTGTTGCTTACTCCCGTGCTAACCCATCAGGCAAGATAGTAATATAGACCTACTTCTTAAAAAGTTCGCAAATGAGTGATAACCAATACAAGCAAATAATGACACTAGGCACTTTCTAAGAATTATTGAGGAATTTAACAGTCACCTGACTGCCACTCAGAATCTGTCCGACGTTCATTTCATGCATCAGATATTTTAGAGAGTGCTCAGTAGACATGTTACCTATTAGAAATCATAGTATCTGGACCATAATATTTCAGTTCCATGCCTAAATGCCTGCATGACTCAGAATCTAAGTCATGGATCATAGATCCATGTCTTAGTCCAGCCCTCTTCCCATTAGCAGTTTTAGAGGGTTGATTTCACTGTTGTTTGTTCGGTTATTATTTCTGTGCCTTCAGTTAAAACCACCGAAGGACAATATTCATGATCCCATTTAGAGAAATGGAGAGAGTGTGTGTGTGTGCGTGTTGTGGATGCACACATGTGTATACATGCAAGGATGGTCACCAGAATATGAATGGTGATTATCTTACGTTAGAATTTGGGGCAATGTCTTCTTCAATTTGTGCTTTTATGTGTTGTTTTGGTTTTTTTTTTAACAGTAAGCATGAATTACTTAATCTTTTTAAAGGCAGTTTTTATTGTGGCAGATGATAGGAAAGATAACAGTACTCTTATCCAATGTCTCTCAAAAATGTCGATGAAAAATTCCTAGTGATTTTATTCCAGAGAAAAGTTTATTTTAGCAAATAAATTTGTAATTATTCTTTATTAATAAATTTTTCAACATCAATTTTGTTTCTGTTTTAACCTTTTTTTTTTTTTTTTTTTTTCCTTTGAGACGGAGTTTCACTCTTGTTACCCAGGCTGGAGTGCAATGGCATGATCTTGGCTCACCGCAACCTCCGCCTCCTGGGTTCAGGCAATTCTCCTGCCTCAGCCTCCTGAGTAGCTGGGATTACAGGCATGCGCCACCACGCCCAGCTAATTTTTGTATTTTTAGTAGAGACGGGGTTTCACCATGTTGACCAGGATGGTCTCGATCTCTTGACCTCGTGATCCACCCGCCTCGGCCTCCCAAAGTGCTGGAATTACAGGCTTGAGCCACCGCGCCCAGCCTGTTTTAACCTTTATCTACCAAAAAACTTACAGCCAAAATAAGATTTTGTTTTTCGCCTTAATTGCCCTGGCTTAATTTTCTGAGTAACCTCATCCATTTGTAAGATAGTCATATATCAACAGATTTCATCTTTTGGCATTTTAATGGCTGTCTGAAAATTGGTAATAAACTTCACCTCTATGCATATACCTATTAGAATGGTTTACTTATCTGGCAGTGTTACTAGTCAATGTTCTTATATATTACAATTTGAGCAAGTCCTTGACACCCTGTCTACTCACCGTTGAAACCCTGTGGGCAAGATGTAAGGGTAACCAGTGGGACCCAGGTAGTCCAGGGTCCCCTGCCATGGGTGGGTTGCTGACTACACAGGGAGGAGCCCCACACGGGATGCAAGACCCCATCCCTCCTTCACCACGCTCGGTGCATTTACCAAGGGCTTGATGCTGTTGGCTTCAATCAGAAGTCCATCAAAAAGCCCATATGTTTGGAGTCACTACCCTTCTATTAGGGTGAAATACTGTTTATTTGAGTACTATGACTAATTCCACATTAAAATTTTTTTTACCACTGCAAACAAAGCTGGTAGATTTTGAAACTTTGCAAATATAAACAGGATGTTAGTCAAAGAAGCAAATAAATGCAAGCTAAATATATTTACATACTGGCTTTTCATACCTCTGTTTCTTAGTACCTGGATAAGCAAGGTTATTGAATTTCAATTCCCAAAAGAGGTCTTTTTTTTTTTTTTTTTTGAGACGGAGTTTTGCTCTTGTTACCCAGGCTGGAGTGCAATGGCAAGATCTCGGCTCACCGCAACCTCCACCTCCTGGGCTCAGGCAATTCTCCTGCCTCAGCCTCCTGAGTAGCTGGGATTACAGGCACATGCCACCATGCCCAGCTAATTTTTTTGTATTTTCAGTAGAGACAGGGTTTCACCATGTTGACCAGGATGGTCTCGATCTCTTGACCTCATGATCCACCCACCTCGGCCTCCCAAAGTGCTGGGATTACAGGCTTGAGCCACCGAGCCCGGCCCCAAAAGAGGTCTTTTACTCTGCTTGGTTATTCATATAAACTTTGTGAAATGTAAACATTTGCCAACTGATATTTGTGTCAGTCTAGTTTTCCCTCAAAATAAGAAAAATAAATATTTTTATTATTTTTATTTGAGGAACATATATAAATATGTAGTAGAGATTTTAAGTTTAATGAGAGGTGTGACTAGGTATTGCCTAGAGCCCTTTTCTGGTTCCGAGATTCTGATTCATAGAAATCATGTTCTAAGATTTGCAGAGAAGGGTAGCTCATCATTCAAGATTGAAAACAATCGGGCCGGGCGCGGTGGCTCATGCCTGTAATCCCAGCACTTTGGGAGGCCGAGGCTGGCGGATCATGAGGTCAAGAGATCAAGACCATCCTGGCCAACATGGTGAAAGCCTGTCTCTACTAAAAATACAAAAATTAGCTGGGCATGGTGGCGCACACCTGTAGTCTCAGCTACTCAGGAGGCTGAGGCAGGAGAATTGCTTGAACCTGGGAGGCAGAGGTTGCAGTGAGCCAAGATCGCGCCATTGCACTCCAGCCCGGCGCCTGGTGACGAAGCGAGACTCTGTCTCAAAAAAAAACACAAAAAAAAGAAAAGAAAAAAGGAAGATCTGGAGTTTCAGTGAGATCCTCTATCAATTAAAAAAAAGAAAAAAAAGATTTGAAACAATCTTGACATGAGGAAGTGAATCTGAAGTGGTAAAAGTGATTAAAAAAAAAATAACTAGAGCAAATGTTCCGGTGGCATAACCCGAGATCAGGAATCCCTGGCTTCTTGTAGCAGGTTACCAGGAAGCTCCTGGTTGAGCTTCCTCCTCTTAATGTAGTAGTAGAAATTTATATATATAAAATCCTTTATTTATATAAAAAGTTGATATTTCTATTTTGTTCTCAGTATTTCTGGATTATTTTGCTCAGTACTCTTTTTAAGAAGAATATTGAGAAACTAGAACACTCAACATAAAAGGGTCTGAAAATTTAATTATTTGATGTCTTGAGGATGCTTGGTTTGGAAGAGAGGGGACCAGGCAAGAAGAGAGGTGTTTCCAGGTGTTTGAAGGACGCTTAAAGATGAGAATAACTACTGTTTATTGAATTCCTACCAAGATCTTAGGCCTGCACTGGTCTCTTTTACCCATACTGCCTGGTTTAGCACTCAAAATAGCTTCATGTTGACTAACCAGTGCATACACAGTGATGCTTACTCTGTATTTCTGGAGCTCTGGAGATACCTACAGGGAGGTAGATTTCCACTTGATGTAAGAAAAAACTCTTTGGCCAGGCGTGGTGGCTCACACCTGTAATCTCAGCACTTTGGGAGGCCAAGGCGGGCAGATCACCTGAGGTCAGGAGTTCAAGACCAGCCTGGCCAATACGGTGAAACCCTATCTCTACTAAAAATAAGAATATTAGCCAGGCATGGTGGCAGGTGCCTATAATCCCAGCTACTCGGAAGGCTGAGACAGGAGAATCACTTGAACCCGGGAGGCAGAGGTTGCAGTGAGCCAGCATCACTCCATTGCACTCCAGCCTGGGTGACAAGAGTGAAACTCCATCTCAAAAAAGAAGGAAAGAAAGAACTTTTTATTAGTCAGAATTGTCCATCCAAAGCACAGGACACTTTGAAAGCTAGCGAGCCTATACCAGGACCTGATTCTTCAGACAGAAGCTACAGGATAGAGCTGTTCATAGGCAGACCTCACATCAGGTAGAAGGTGCTAAGACTCGTCCTATGCTAAGGGTCCCTCTTGAATTGTTCCTAGGAGGGGTCAGAGGCTGAGGAGAGGTATGTGGTTCTCTTTCAGTTACCTATTTTAGAACCTTAAATATCAAAAACATTGTTTTTGAAACTTGTTAAAATGCTGTAAGAGATAGATTTTTGCATTGTGACCCAGTACTCCCGTATATGACTGAAACATTTCACACATGCTTCCCTGACTACATGCAGTATTCTCTGATGTAGTCAGTCCTGTGCCTTGTTAATACTAGTTGTTAACTCCTAAATTGATTTTAGAAACCATTAATAGGTTATATACTTTAGTTTGAGAAATACTTGTCTAAAAAATTTTGAATTTTTCGTTCTCAACCTGATGATCCTTTGCTCACACAACCTTTCTTGTAACAATTCCAGAAAAGATTTAAAATTAACTTCTGTTTGAGATGTATTGCTGGATAATGGATCCTCTTCTTTCTCTTAGTATTTATTCTCCTTTGAGCCAATCTGAGTGTAAGATACATATACACAAAAGAATAAATTTGGGTTTAGAGGGATTGAGTGACTCCAGAGGGATGCCATAGGAAGAAGGGCACTAGAATTCAAACCCAGTACCTCTGGTTCCAACCTTTTCCTTTAAACTGCTTGCATTTCACTACTTCAGAGAGGAGGATAGTGCCAAATAATGTGGTTAAAGAAGACAAATTTGGTTTTCTAAAAATGCAGTTGCGACAAGAGTATTAAAGGCAGTAAGAACTTGCATTGGACTTCTCTGCTCTCTTTGGCGGTGGTTATTATTTTGCTTGCTTTTTTGCTCCCCTCCCCTTCCCTCCCCTCCCCTTCCCTCCCCTCCCCTCCCCTCCCATCCCCTCCCCTCCCCTCCCCTCCCTTCCCCTCCCCTTTTTGGACAGAGTCTCGCTCTATCACCCAGGCTGGAGTGCAGTGGTGTGATCTTGGTGCACTGCAACTTCCGCCTCCCAGGTTCAAGCAATTCTTCTGTCTCTGCTTCCCGAGTAGCTGGAACTATAGGTGCTTGCCATCACACCTGGCTAATGTTGTATTTTTAGTAAAGACAGGGTTTTACCGTGTTGGTCAGGCTGATCTCAAATTCCTGACCTCAGGTGATCCACCCACCTTAGCCTCCCAAAGTGCTGGGATTACAGGTGTGGATCACTGTGCCCGGCCTATAATTTCTTTAAGGGGCAACAAGATAAAGTAGATTTTTTTTTTTTTTTTTTTTGAGACCGAGTTTCGCTCTTGTTACCCAGGCTGGAGTGCAATGGCGCGATCTCGGCTCACCACAACCTCCGCCTCCTGGGTTCAAGCAATTCTCCTGCCTCAGCCTCCTGAGTAGCTGGGATTACAGGCACGCGCCACCATGCCCAGCTAATTTTTTGTATTTTTAGTAGAGACGGGGTTTCACCATGTTGACCAGGATGGTCTCGATCTCCTGACCTCGTGATCCACCCGCCTCGGCCTCCCAAAGTGCTTGGATTACAGGCTTGAGCCACCGCGCCCGGCCCGATAAAGTAGCTTTAAGAACTTGATTACCCCTAAAAAGTCTTTGTATCTAATATTGTTTTTCTGAGGAAATATTAGAAAATGTGTTATCTTAAATAGGAACTATAAGAAATAATAAGCACAAAGCTTTATGCGAAGTTGTGAATATCCTTTATACCAGAGCGTTTTCAAAAAAGTTGACAATGCCCTCTCATTCATTGAGATGCCATTTCCTAAGTAGGCTTCTGGCCTTGTGCCAAGTACTGGGGTCCCAGTGTTGAAACTAGTGGAGACCCATCCTGCCCATGGAGCTCAGGGCTGTGCCCTCATGTGCGTGCTGACATAGCTGGAGAGTGAGGGAGCGTGCAAAGGCCCTTTTGGGTCATGCCCGCAGAGCTGCTGCTTTACCTTTGGGGGAGCTAAAAAGGCTGAATGGAGGAGTGACTTAGCCTGGGCATAACTAGGTCACACAGTAAGGACTGCCCAGAGCAGGATTAGGGAGTTGCGTGGTTTAGAGTGTCTACTGTAGGTTGTGATGGCAGTAGGCAGGAGAAAGAATTTGGACTTCATTCTTGTAAACAGCTAGCTGGTAATGAGTTCTCAGGCTTTTCAGAAGAGAGATATTCCTAGTGGCTGTGAAGTTGCTTAATGTGGTAGAGCATGGAGGTGGGAAGATAGATAGGTAAAAACTGGGAGTTGAAGGAAGAAGTCAGGGTGGTGAGCAGGAGCTGAAATCAAGAGTTCCTGGAGAGTTGTATGATAACCAAAGCTTATGTGGTTTGAAGCAAAGAGCTGAAGCTCAGCTGAAAGAAAGAGATCAACATTAACAGCTTGATTTGGGGACCCTGGAAGTGAGCAGGAGTCCAAGACATCAGAAAGCCAGGGCGGCCCCACAACACAGGGCAGCAGGAGCTAGGCCAGCATGGGGACTTGTCAGAAGGTCATAGGCTCTTTTTACACCTGATACAAGGACAGAAACACACACACCCAAAGTCTGGAGGATTCCTGTGAGAGAGCCATACGTCCCTATCACTTCAAAATAAGTAAGGACATTCTTGTTTGAGGGAGAAGTAGAGCATTTTCTAAAGACAACAGCTGTAGATTTCAGTACCCTCAGCATTGAGAACATGTGTTTAAACCAGGAAAAGTTGTATGATAATCGTCCTTGTGTATTTAAACAACACGCCACGGTCCTGACCTTTTTCCTTCATCCTTTGGGGAGTATTAAAGCACCTCTAAGACGGATGAGCCCCTCAACTGCAGATCTGAAACTGCTGATTTTGGGAAAACACTTAATGGCTTCCTGGCCTTACCAAGATCGTTGGGAAATAGCTGGGGACAGCTCAGGCCACCCTCCGGTTAGGGTCACTTCTCTGTTATTTTAAACATTTGACTACTCTTTAACTAATTTATGACCTCTTTTTCCTTTTATTCCATAGGGTAGAATGGTTTTGAAGAAGAAAAATAAACTGCTTTCTGACTGATTGCCTTGAAGGAAAAAAGAACCTATTTTTGTGCATCATTTACCAATCATGCCACACAAGCATTTATTTTTAGTACATTTTATTTTTTCATAAAATTGCTAATGCCAAAGCTTTGTATTAAAAGAAATAAATAATAAAATAAAAAGACTGTGTTGTTGAATATTATTAACCAGACCTGTGTTTTGAGGGCTAATTTGGGGATCGCGTACCCAGATTGCATTTGTTTGTGTTTCAGAGACAGAATGTGTTCCTGGCTCCCGTGAAAGGAACAGGGATTGACACATACTATTGATGTCTTCACATTGTCTCCTGCCTTCATAGGGCACAAGAGTGGGGACATCCTGCTGGTGATACCACTTAGGGCAGTTAATTGATTTACTCATTCTTCAAGGTGGACATTCACTCTGATAATTTCTACTTCCTTTGTGGTTGGTCAGCCTCCACCAAAGCTTCAGCACCCCCAGCAGCAGGGACTTGTAACGTTTTCTTCCCACTGTGCCCTGCACCCAGCAGAGTGCTTTGCACATAGTAAGTGCTCAATAAATATTTGTGGAATGAAGGAGTGAGTGTAAAAGAGATTTTCTGAACCATACACTAATTAGTAATAAATTTGTCAGTTTTTTTTAACCTACTTTGTATTCGTTTAAAAGCAGCAAATTCTAAAAAGTAGGGTGAGAGCAGTTTTACATGTACCAATGAAATATTTCTGCTTTACTGATGAGGAAAATTTAAAAATATTTTATTACATTGAATTATACGCTTGAAGGATTTTCAGTATTTATAAATGTTTTCAGCAGTGAATTCTTAAATCTTCTGCCTCAGCCTTCCTAAGGGGTGAGAACATATTCCTATTGAAAACAGCGGTTCCCTCCAGTAGTCATGCTCAAATCAGTAGGGGGCTGAAAGGATTATTTTAATTAAAATATAGTTCACATACCATAAAATTACCCTTTTAAAGTGTATATTTCAGTAGTTTTTAGTATAGTCACAAAGTTGTGCAACCATCACCACTGTCGAATTCCAGAATATTTTCATCACCCCCTAAAAAAACCTCATACTCATTAACAGTAATTACTCACCCCTGCCAGCCCAGGAAATCTATTCATTGTTTCTATGGATTCGCCTTTTCTGGGCATTTCATGTAAATGGAACCATATAATAGGTGGCCTGTTGTATCTGGCTTCTTTGACTTGGCATAATGTGTTCACGGTTCATACATGTTGTAGCATGTGTCAGTACTTTTTTGTGTGGCTGAGTAACACTCCATAGTATGGATGTACCACATTTTATTCTGCTGATGGACACTTGACTTGTGTTCATTCTTTGGCTGTTATGAATAATGTTGCTATGAATATTCATGTGCAAATTTTGCCATGAGCATATACTTTCAGCTCTCTGGGGATATCCCTAGGAGTGCAATTGCTGGATTATGTTATAACTGTGTTTAACTTCTTGAGAAACTGCTAAAATGTTCTTCAAAGCAGCTGCACCATTTTGCATTCTCACCAAGAATGTATGAGGGTTTCAGTTTCTTCACAACCTCCGTAACACTGGTGACTGCCTTTTTCCTTATAGATGTCATAGTGGGTGTGAAGGAGTTGTTTCATGTTTTTAACATGCATTACCCTAGTGACTAAAGATGCAAAGCATCTTTTCATGTGCTTTTTGGCCATTTTCTGTTTTCTTTGGAGAAATGTCTGTTCTATTGCTTTGCCCATTTTTAAATTGGACTGTTTTTTGTTGTAAGAGTTCTTTATATGTTCTAGATACTATGACTTTATCAGATACGTGATTTGCAAATGCTCTCTCCCATTCTCTAAGCTATTTATTCACTTTCTTGGTAGTGTCTTTCAAAGCACACGTTTTAAATTTTGATGATGTTGAATGTGTCTATTTTTCCTTTGGTTGCTTGTACTTTAGATGTCTTAAGAAAGCATTGCCTAATTTAAGGTCACAGAGACGTCTAAGAACTACTGTCTTTGCTCTTACATTTAGATCTTTGATCAATTTTGAATTAATAATTGTATACGATATAAGGTAGGGGTCTTACCTTTATTCTTTTACGTGCGGATATTCAGTTTTTCCAGTGCCATTTGTTTAAGAGACTTTTTTTCCTCCATTAAATGGACTTGGCACCCTTGTCAAAAATCATTTGAGTATAACATATGAGTTTATGTCTGGACTCTTAATTCTTCCATTGATTACATAGTATGTTTTGAAATTGGGAAGTGTGAGTTCTCCAACATTGTTCTTTTTCAAGTTTGTTTTCCTTATTCAGGGTCTCTTGCATTTCTATATAAATCTTAGGATCAACTTCTCAATCTCTGTTAAACAAACAAACAAAAAAGCTAGGATTGTATAGGGTTGCACTGAATATGTAGATCATTTTAGGTAGCGTTGCTATCTGAACAATATTGTCTTCCAGCTCATGAGCATGGGATATCATTCCACATATTTAATTTCTGTAGAACTATAATTATTTTTTGTACTTTGATCTTTTATCCTACATCATTGCTGAATACAACATTGCTGAACTCATTTATTCTCATCTTTTTTTTTTTTTTTTTTGAGATGAAGTTTTGCTCTTGGTACCCAGGCTGGAGTGCAATGGCGCGATCTCGGCTCACTGCAACCTCCACCTCCTGAGTTCAAGCAATTCTCCTACCTCAGCCTCCTGAGTAGCTGGGACTACAGGCGTGCACCACCATGCCCAGCTGATTTTTGTATTTTTAGTAGAGACAGGGTTTCACCTTGTTGACCAGGATGGTCTCGGTCTCTTGACCTCGTGATCCACCCGCCTCGGGCCTCCCAAAGTGCTGGGATTATAGGCGTGAGCCACTGCGCCCGGCCTATTCTCATCTTTTTTTTTGTGGATTCCTTGGGCTTTTCTGTCTACAAGATCATGTCATCTGCACATAGAGATCATTTTTCTTCTTCCTTTTCAATCTGGATGCTTATTTGTTTTATTTTCATGCTTAATTGTTCCTAGCTAGAACCTCAAATAGTAGACTGTTGAATAGAAATGGTGCAAACAGACATCCATGTGTTGTGATCTTGTAGGGAAAAACTTTCCATAGCTATTAAGACTCTCATAGATTAGATACCCTTTTTCAAGTTGAGAAAGTTACTTTCTATTTCTAGCTTACTGAGTTTTTATTATGAAACAATTTTTGATTCTGTCAAAAGCTTTTTGTGTCTATTGAGATGATGATGTGAGTTTGCCCTTTATTCTGTCCTATGAGTATGGTATATTACATTGATTTTCTTACATTGAACCAATCCTGGGATAAATCCCACTTGGTCATAATGTGCAATCCTTTTTATATTTGCTGTATTACTTTGTTAGTATTTTGCTGAGGATTTTTTCATCTGTATTTCTAAGGGATATTGGCATGTAATTAATTCTTATCATGTCCTTATCTGGCTTTGGGGTTGTTGTAATAATCAAACATATGAGCAATTATAAAGTGTTCTTCCTTCTTCTGTTTTTTTGGAAGATCTTAAGAAGAATTTGTTAATTATTCTCTGGATATGTGGAAGCCATCTGATCCTGGATCTTTCTTTGTAGGAAGTTTTGTGATTACCAACTCATCCTCTCCAATTACTAATTCATTGTCTCCTTACAGAGGCCTATTCAGGTTTTCTATTTATAGTAGAGAGAGTTTGAGTCATTTCTGTCTTTCTAGGAATTTATTCTTTTTTGGTTTTATTGATTTTTCTCCCTTTTCTATATTTCACTAATTTTTACTCAAATCTTGGTTTTGGGGTTTTGTGTTTTTGTTGTTTTGTTTTGTTTTGTTTTGTTTTGTTTTATTTAAGATGTCTCACTCTGTCACCCAGGCTGGAGTGCAGTGGCACGATCTCAGCTCACTATAGCCTTAAACTCTGTGGCTCAAACAATCCTCCTACCTCAGTCTCCCAAAGAGCAAGGAGTACAGGCTTGAGGCACCTCACCTGGCCTTACCCAAATCCTTACTATTTTCTTTCTTCTACTTGGTTTAAGTTTAGTTTATTGTTTTAAGGTAGAACATGAGGTTATTGACTTGAGATCTTTTTTATTTAATGTAATTGTTTACAGCTATAAATTTCCCTCTGAGTCGTATTTTACCCATTTGTAAATTTTGGTATGTTGTGACTTTTACTTCATCTCTGGTTTCCCCATTATTTCTTCTTTGGCCCATTTGTTATTTAGGAGTATGTTATTTAAATCCTATGTGTTTGTAAATTTCACAAATTTCCTTCTGTTGTAGATTTCCAATTTCATTCTAAATTCAGTTATTGGTTGGAGAACATACTTGGTATGATTTCAGTCATCTTAAATTTATTAAGGCTTCTCTTAAAGGCTAACATGGTCTATCCTAGAGAATGTTCCATGTACACTTAAGAATGTGCATTTCTGCTACTGTTGGATAGACTGTTCTGCACATGTCTGTTAGGTCAAATTGGTTAATTGTGTTGTTCAAATCTTCTCTTTCCTGGTTTTTCTTATCTGTAGTTCTAGAAATTACTGAAGTTACTCTGGATTTATACTGTTATCTCTAGTATTGTTGAATTATCTGTTTCTACCTTTTATTCTGTCCATTTTTGCTTCGTGTAGTTTGGGGCTCTGTTCTTAGGCACATAATAATGTTTTAAAGCTGCACTGGTTATACATATACCTCTATCCATTGAGATTCCCTGGTTCAGTGGCCCTCCTGATATTACCAGCCAACTCAAAATGCCAGAGTCGGCGAGTGGGCTCTGTTGTATTGACATCTTCCTCAGTAAAAAGATTTTTCCAGCCGGGCGCGGTGGCTCAAGCCTGTAATCCCAGCACTTTGGGAGGCCGAGGCGGGTGGATCACGAGGTCAAGAGATCGAGACCATCCTGGTCAACATGGCGAAACCCCGTCTCTACTAAAAATACAAAAATTAGCTGGGCGTGGTGGCGCCTGCCTGTAATCCCAGCCCGGGAGGCTGAGGCAGGAGAATTGCTTGAACCCAGGAGGCGGAGGTTGCGGTGAGCCGAGATCGCGCCATTGCACTCCAGCCTGGGTAACAAGAGCGAAACTCCGTCTCCAAAAAAAAAGGGAAGTGAAATGAGTGAATTAATAGATTGGGACTTCCCATCAGTCTTAGGGAACATTTGTCTTCTGCCATTGAAATTT